GCTGTACAAGTTGTTCTAACTTTGAGTCTGTGGATGGAATCGTATAGTGTGACCACTTAAAGGAATACTACTGAGCAGTTCTTTCCCATGGTACATTTTCAGTTCCACTTTTTTTCCAAAAATGTCAAAGGTAAAAATTCGGGAACTTTTAAAACTGGTCCTTTTTGTGTAAAAGATCTGCTTGTGTCGTTTTTCAGGAATCTGACGAACTAACAAACCGAGGAGTAGAGTACATGCAAAAGCAGCAACACTGGGAGACAGACAGGCCATGGTTTACATGGCGAAAGCCTACGAAACTGGAAACGGATTGGGGTCCCAGGGGTAATGTGCTTTTAACGGACACCTCCAGATGGATATCTAGAGTTTTGTCTCTGGCGTTGCTCAGTCATTTCTCTTGGTTCTCTAAAAACCAGATACCTTGTTAAGATGGACACTAGCGTGTTCCAGGCTCTCAGATAGTGGGGAAGACGAGAAAGTTAAAGGCACGCGAAAAGTTGGCGGGGCGGGAAAAAGGAAAAAGGAAGGCCGCCCTTCCTCTTCCTAGTTTCCTCCTGTTTTTTTTTTTTTCGCGTTCGCTCTTTCTCAATTCAGCGGAACAGGCCAGACGGACACATACTGCTTGTCCTAGGAGTGGCCGTTTTAGACTCAGAGTTAACTGTTACCATGCTTGGCGCTTCATGACTAGTTGCGAGGTCTATGTAACCCTCCCCCACCCCCTGCCATCTCCCCTTCCCTCCCCGTCATCACGGGCAGTTTTTACTCTTCTCAGTTTTTGCTCACCATGTGAAATCAAGATAGCGGCCTCTCAAACTTTACGATTGACCTCGGAAATCACATGGAAATCCTGATCACTTGGAAATCTCTCTCTAAGACGGACCTCTTCGGGACCGAGACTGGGTGTCTGTCTTATAGAGGTGTCCGCGTTGTAGATAGTCAAACACAAGGACTGAAGAAAGGAGGGACCAACTCTAGGTGTCTGTCTTATGAAGGAGTCATTACAGTCAGAGAGAGTTAACTGAAGATTTCCATCTGATTTTAGATATCGACAGCTGGCGAGTTCGGGTTCAGACGTCTTTATGAATTGTTATCTGTTATTTAGATAGCCCAAAACTTTGGTTCCTTGTGGGAGCGCTTTAACAAACCTGAAACGCGTGATTATGATTTTGTGTTTCAGGGAACGTAGCTGGCTGGAGGCAGCCAAGTGGTATCAGAGAGCTATCGATATCGATATCGATATCGATAGTGGATGAGGATGGCGATCCACATCCGCTACACACCGATCCTAACTATGCACTGACTGCTGCTCAAGCTCGCCTGTATCAACAAAGGGGGTATGGACTGGACAAGGATCCTCAGACTGCTGGCGAGATGTACTCGGCAGCAGACGATTTAGCAATCGCTTCTAATTTTCTTAACGGAAACAGAAACTCATCTTTTTACCTAACGAAAAATGAAAACACATTATCGTATAATTTAAAACATCTTTGCCAGTGTTTTATACTTCAGAGTAAGTAAAATCTCATCAGGGGCGGATATAGGGGGAGGGTACACGGGGTGCGCAAACCCCCCCCCCCCGGAGATGACCTGCGGTTTTCTAATACAACTGGTATTCTGCAAAAAAAAAAAAAAAAAACTTTGCGTTTTATTGATGTTGAAGTAGAGCAAGAGACGAGTGCAACCCCTCCTAAAAAAAATCCTGGATCCGCCCCTGCTCATTATGCAAAAACGTTTGACCATGGTGGTGTTCTCTGCATATTTTTGTAGCTAAAACGTAGTACATGTTAGCAAGCAAGACAAAGAATATACAGACTTATAAAGAGTGGACGCTTGTGCAATCCAGATTAGACGTCAAGACGTCATAAACCCGGAAGGACAAAACTAATAGACTTTGTTAAGGCTTTAAGATCAAAGAAAGTAGTGCGGTTTAATATTGTTTAAGTATGTGGTGTCATAAGTTATATTTTGTCTATAATGTAAGAACTCTTTGCTGTGTTCTTTTTTTTTTACTCATCGAGGCCACCAAGATCTCTAGATCAAACCATAATTAGGGCAATTAAGCAATGGGGACTTTGAGATGCCACGACGGCAACCACAACGAGGACGTCAAAAAAGCGATCGGTTAAACAACAACTCTGCACGTTCATCACGCTTTTTTGTACATTTCTTTGTCGTCACTGCACGACTACGACGGGAAAAGGCCTAATTTCACGTTTTATGGAGGACGTAAACAAGCGACAGCTTAGCCTGCGTGGCAGGCGCAAAAAGGGGAATTCCCGAAGAGGTCCGTCTTAGAGAGAGATTTCCAAGTGATCAGGATTTCCATGTGATTTCCGAGCTCAATCGTAAAGTTTGAGAGGCCGCTATCTTGATTTCACATGGTGAGCAAAAACTGAGAAGAGTAAAAACTGCCCGTGATGACGGGGAGGGACGGGGAGATGGCAGGGGGTGGGGGAGGGTTACATAGACCTCGCAACTAGTCATGAAGCGCCAAGCATGGTAACAGTTAACTCTGAATTCAATTCAATTCAATCCCCCTCCCCTTTTTCCCTTCCTCCCTATCCCCTATCCCCTACCCCTTTCGACGCCTGCTACGCAGGCTAGCGACAGCTATGAATATGGTTCTTAGGAATTCGGCTCAAAAAGAAATCGTTTGCGTTTGACAAAGTAAATGAGTTGGAGTAATCGCGAAAGAGATTGAAAGAACGCAAATTCACTCTTTAAGCGACGTTTTCGTGGCCGTCGCCGTTGAGGTATCTTAAACTCCCTACTGACGGCGACGACAGTGGGAAACGTCTCACAAAAAGCGAATTCATGCTGCTTCAAAATCCGTCGTTTTTATTCCATGTCGTTCGATTTGCCAAATGTTAGTAATTTTTCTGGAGTTGATATCTAATAAACTGTATCTAAGTTTTTAAAAAAGAAAAGAAAATCGTTGCCTTGTATTCACGTCCTCTACAAAACGTGAAATTTTCACGTCGTGTTTGTGCAACAACGGCAAGGAAATGAACAAAACAGCGTGATGCACGTGCAAAATGGTTGTTTTCATTATCCTGCTCTTTTTTGCTGCTCTGATTGCCGTTGTCTGTCGTCGTCGTCCCTGTTCTACAAAGAAGTCAACTTCCAGGACAGGTGTAACTGTTTCGTATTGAAACTTCTCATTAGCTCTTTACAAGGAAAAGTCTATGTGATTGTATAGATATTTATTGAGGAACAGTTAAATTATATGAAAAGTTACAACAGAAATAACAGGACATAGTAAATAGATTGTGATGTGATTACTCTGGAGAAAAGGAACGTCATTATTTTAGACTTCTATTGCTCCAGGGCACCCAACGATCAAAATGTTTCCAAATACGTAAGAATTGTCTCTAATCATTTTCTTTATGCTTTAAAAGCTTTTACGGTTAATTTGGGGCTGCCTTAAAAATATGTTTATCTGTTCGGATATCTTGGGAAGGTTTGGTCGTCTCGAAAGTTTTAGGGGGCTTTTTCGTCTCATCCGAGAAAATCGTAAATAACTTAAAATAGAAATACTCCGAATGTGTGCAAGAGATGGCGAACGGTTATCCTGAAAGGTTTAGCCGAGCTTCGGAAACTTTTAGGCAATATTTGCTGTTTCGAACTGTTATTTTCTGAAAGAAAAAATTCGTTGGGTTCCCCGATGCCAACGTAATCAAGTTTTTGGTACGCTGACTCAAAAGTCACTGGTCAAACAGACATGATTTCATTGGCTAGTTACGTCACACATAGGTACGGTGAAGACAAAGAAAAAAAGGAAGTATAGCTATTTATAACGCAAGTGATCTACAGAACACTGCTACACGAAAAGAAAAAGAATATTAATGATTCACAAGCTATTTTATTTTAGTACTACAATTTTGAAGTGAATTCCTGTACTTAAGAGTTGCAGAGAAAAGATTAAAATCATTAATATTTTGGCAAGTAATTCCTTCTATTTATTGAAGTATTCTTTGTCTCGAAAACAATTTTATATCCGCAGTTTACAGTTGTCAAAGCCTCTTTTTATAGGTGGTATGCCAATTTAACGAGTTAACGTTTTCATCCTACTACAAGAGGCATAGAGGAGAGCCCCAGATGGTTTTAGCTGTGACGAGGTGCTACTCCGGCTCTGCGAAGGGGAAATAACTCTTATGACATCATTTGTCAACGTGGTACTGGGTTACAAACCATGGAACACCTACTGAGGTGCCCCCGACATTCTGACACTTTCGCTTAGAGGGAAGATGTTTTAATTGTACATACACATCTTCTGATTCTGACCTTCTGATCAGTTCTGATCAATGTGCAGACTATTAAAAGACCATTAAAAACACTGAACTTGAAAATCACTCTGCTCGTTAAAGTTGTGCGCCTCTACTACCATGTCACTATTAAACTTCGCGCACTGATTTTTCTTTGACTATTGCTCTTTTGTTTCCTTCTTAATTGCTTTAAAAGTCGACATAATGTTAAAATATCCTTATTATATATTATCACTTTCTGCTAGTTATCCCTTAAGCCGGGTTCCACCGACTAAAAGCTTGTAAAACTAATATTTTTACTGTTTTATTTCAACTTTCTAAATAAAATAAAATAAATAAAAATAAATCACTATCTGGTTCATAGACTGCAAAACAGCCCGTATTTTTGCGTAGGTCAAGGATGCAGGAGCAGTCATACACTAATCTCCAAACGAGGATGAAAACAAGGTATAAGACTGGGGAGAGGAAGCGAAAAAAACAAACATTTTTTCTCGCCTCACACGCCTGTGAGGCTGTTTCGCAGTCTATCTTGTTTTCAAAGAAGAGTTCTAAATTCCAGCATTTTAATAAAAGGTTTCCTTATCTTTCAGGTCGCCAGAAAATATTATTCATTGTTTCAATAGAATTTTACCTTTTATCTCTGTGAACACTCAGACTCTAAACGGTAACACCTTACAAAGACTGGTATACAAATTATCAAAAAAAAAGGGAAGACATGGACTCTTAGGTTCAATATCACTATTTAGCATTTGGCCTGACCAACTGTATCTTTTTACAGATTTCGTTACATTCTGGGTGCATATGACGCCAAAACCCGTCAAAACCATCTTGACGCAGATTGCCTGTACCAAAGCATTTGTAAACCACAGAATGGATCTGCGGATCAGTGAGGAATGTGCAACGAGATTGATTCTCTGCTGATGGCGTCCAACCTTGAATGTCTACGATAACCAACAGCTCGTTGGAAGCCTGGTAGGAGAAATGACCAAATGCCAGGACGAGGTCAGACACTGGGCCTACTCTTCTTACAAAGTCTAAATTATTGGTGAGTTTGACAAACTCTCCTGCCATGTACGGTTCGACATTGTATACACCGCTTAAAGAACCATCCTCGTTAATCAACTGCAGCAAGACTACAGGTAGGAACTGGATGTGACCGACGTTTAAATCTGCAATACAAAGATTTTACAACGTGAAAACTTAGATATTGGTATTTCGCACAACTTTATACGCAGTTGAGATTCTTCTTAGTTTGCATTTTCATTGGCGCTTTTAGTTTAGAAATGTGGTAGTGGTGGTGGTGGAGGTGGAAGAAGGGGGAAAGCGGAAAATTGTTTTTCGTAGTAGAAAGAGATCCTCGTCCTCATTAAAGATGCACGATCTGCGAACAAAGAATCAGTGAATCGGACCTCGAACAAATTGTTGGACAATGAAAGCGGCAGGAAATAGAACAGGCGAGTAAAAGCTTATTCTTTCGACAATATGAATAAACAAATAAATACTTTTCTTAAACCTTCATCGATCTTAAAATAACTAGAAAACCTGTCAAACCGGTTAAACCATTCTTAAGTAGCACATGACCTTATATCATTAGAGAGTATACAGCAAACGGCAAACGTCAAGATAGAAAATGAGCAGACAAAAATATGGATAAAAAATGGCGTGAAACTACTACTTTATGTTTAGAAATAAGGAAAGTAAACGACAAGTAAAGGAGAAACTTGGTCAGGTGCTACAACATCGCGTTTGCCGTTTGACGTAAACGTGATGCCTAACCTCTATAATGAGATTCCACCGCATTTTATTCATGAGGTAAAGACAAAAGGGTATGACGTTAATGAAGTTTTCCCCCTCCCTCCGCTCACAGAGATACCGACACCAACTGCATTCGATTGGGTAACAAGAAATTTTATTTTAACTTAAAGAAATATTGAAAAAATCATTGCTGGATTTGTACAAAAGAAATTGATGCTTACCCGCCTGGTAGAGCTGTTGATTGAAAAGCGTTGCATAGTAACGAGCTGTCATCTGACATATCACGTCTTGTTGATACTGCTGTATATTCTTGGTCTTCTTATAACATTTGGCTACGTACCTACAAGATAAGCAATTAATGTTATAATATATAGATTTGGCCGTACTACACTTCTCGAATACGCAGAATATCATGGCTAACCGTAGTGTATAGTGCGTTAAGTATTTAGTTGTACTTTACGTGCTTAGAACGCCAGTGTATATTATCCTTTTTGTACAAAGGGCATTTCACGAGTTATCGCTGTGGGGTTGAGATATGCAAACGCGTCTCCTGAATAAACGCTACAATGTTTGAAAAAAAAAGGCCTCACATATTTGATAGTTTTTGTGCCATACTTTGGTGCAGTGTGAACACCAACACTTATTCGGCCCGTCGCGGAAGTAAATAAGTAGGAGCGAGGACTGGAACCCTCTGAGAACATGACGTCACCAAAATTCAAACTAAGAAACTATCGCTTCTTCTGGGTTTCTACTTTGATGTGGTATAACAGCTATAACAGCACCTTAAAACCTTTATACAAACAAATTTTCGCTCCAAAAGGATTCTTCGTTTTGCGATATAGGACGCTTAAATTTCCAGGCTTTTGCGTGAAGTGGCATTTAGCTGAAGGCCAGGAAAGCTCTTATGTGGGTTGAAAACATTAACGATCTTGGGAAATTTTGCCATCTAAACATTCCTTGTCTCAGAATAAATATTACTTTAATCTTTATGAGTTCCTCAGGTGAAGAATTCACGCATTAGTAGGAAACTCAAAAACCGATGTTTCTGTTGGTTTTCGGCGGCCATATTTGTGCCACAAGAAACATGGCGTCTCCGTACAAAGCTTTATACATCTGGGTAAAACGTTTTTCTGAATATCTCGCATATGAAATATTGCACAGACCTGATTCTTGGCAAGGCTTTTTGTATAGTTATCTTCTTTAATTTCCCATATTCTAGACTTAAAAGGTTTCCATTTATATTTTTGATGGCGTGACAGTGAAAACCACCAATTCAAGAGTGAGGGCGGAAATTAAGTGACGTGCACCAAACATTCTTGGCCAACCGCGCTGGCACGATGTTCGATGTGTTTGAAGTAATATATCAAACATGAGATGCAGTGTTTCATCACCAGATGAAACACCGAGAAGAGAGTTGAAAATACGACGCGCAGCGGAGTATTTTTGACGAACTTCGAGGTGTTTCATCTGGTGATGAAACACTGTGTCGAATGTTTGATATTTCTTCTCAAACAAAATCATTTTGAAGGAGAAATTAAGGATGCAAATACTAAGCAGTGTTTCATCCGATTTCCAAACACTCATTAAACATTAATTTCCTTTGTATTTTCTTAATGAATTATTAATGAGTTTGAGAACGTCTTGTGCTGCTCCGGGCCGTTGCTGTTCATGCCTTACCGGATGTTTTCATGGCGTGTGAATATAGCCTAAGACGTGAAATAGGCTCTTAAAGCTGGTATGTTTTGTTTTCTCAATGTAGATTATGTGATAATACGTTAACGAGCTGCTTCGTTCAAACTTCGTCTTATTCCAGTGCACATGCGCGCATAATTTATGAAAAGAAAATTCCTGTGAGACCTTCATTGGGAAAAAGAATAAACAAATTACGACGAATTTCTCGTTCTCTCTTTGAACTTGTTTTTTTTTCTTAAGAATTCGATTTCAGGAGTGTTCGTCTACATTTGACAAAGTAGCTGCCGCCGCCGTTGTGACATCTTTAACTCCGTGGTATCTTAACCACGACGGCGATAACTCCGAATTAAGGTGACTCGACCCAGTTTTTTTTAGGGGGTACCATCCTACTTTGAAGCTCTCTGGTCCGTGTAAAGTTTGCTTATCATTTTCGCATAAATTATGACCTAAATTTGGAAACCGCTGAATTTCTCGAATTGGGTCTTTGCGATTTTGGTGAAACTCTGTTCAGCGCAAGGCACTAATGCGCACTATGTGTAGCCGAGAGATTTTCACGAGAAAATGCCGGCAACAGCAGATTTTCGACTCAGACCTCAAAGGGGCGTGGCATTATAACCACGTGACATTTACTCCGATCGCCAAAAATTTTATGTTATATTGTAGATTGATCTATATGTTATCCATTCTATGTGTTAGACTTACGATAAAAGTAAAGGTGGGGATACCAGAGAGCTTCAAAGTAGGATGGTACCCCCAAAAAAAATTTGGGTCGAGTCACCTTAAGATTAAAGGCAAAGGAGGACTGGGGTGAATTGAAGCTGCGATCAAGCTGAAACAGTAGAGTTGTTGACCCATCCACGAGGTACCCCCACCCCGTCCGTGCTCCGAGAAAACGCCCGAAACTACATCGTAACGATTTTCTTACAGGTAAATACCTTCGTCCTACCAGTTAAAGAAGCTGTGTAACGAAATTTATCAAAATTCGAAAGGTGGGATCTGTAACCAAACTGAGTCAGGAAACATGAAAATAAACTCTTAAAACATTAAACAGGAATAAATAACAGTTAATACAAAAGGAGACACGAATAAACAAACTTGAAGAAGACTGAAATGGATTGCAATTGTAGTGATTGAAACCTTGTTCAGTTAGCCTGATGTTTGATATGGTTTAATAAGATGTTTGGGAGTTTGTTTGACACGAGGCACTCTTGAGTACTTTGTCAACTTCCATAGCGAACAAGGACGTGTACGAGATGCACTATCAATAGATATAACCACTTTAAGGGTCGATCCCTGCTAAAGGGAATGAGACCTGACATCAAAAGACATTGGTATTACACACTCAGTTATTTTGCACTTACTTTGCAAAGGGATCATCTTGATTGATAAACTCCACCATGAAAGCATTCCTCTGAGCTCCCTCCTTGCCTTCCTCCAATTCCAGTACATTTCCTACGAAAGCCAAAGTGTTTTCTCCTCTCCATTCGTTACGTGTGGAGTCGAATCTCCAAACAACGGCACCTTTAATCACGGAAAATCAACGTGAGAGTTTGGACAATGAACAACTTAGTAAAGAAACTCCATTAAGGAGTACTGGGCATTAAGCACAGCAGACTAGGCAACATTAGCGATACTTAGAGCAGCTACCCTCATTTAGCAAAATATGAAGTTGTTTCCGGTTCTCGTTTAACTGGAGGAAAATAGGCTATTTCCTACGCATCTACTTCAAAACGAGGCTAAGGGTGAATTTCCTCTGTCGCGTAATTTTTTAGTGCGTGCAAGCCCCCGGGGGAGGGGGGGGAGTACTCCTGGGAATTCTTGGAGGGGGTGTGCCACCCAGAACGCCGATTTCAGACCAAAAATGTAATTTCCACACTCCTTTTCAGACCAAGACCTCTAAAATCCATACTCGTTTTCAGATCTG